TCTGAACTTTACTTGAACAGACAAGTTGTTCATGTCTAACCTTTACTTGAACGGACAAGTTGTTCATGTCTAACCTTTACTTGCACAGACAAGTTGTTCATGTCTGAACTTTACTTGAACAGAAGTTCATCAAGAAGTTCATCCCGGGCTGGGTCCTTGGGGCGACGGGGGCTGGATGGGGGAGTGGTAGACGGGGGCCGACTCACCCATCACCGTAAGGAGTACACTTCCCCCGACCACACGGTACGCACGGTAGCCGACACCTACCAGTACGACTCCGGCGACACCAACCCCGTGAGTGACTTGAAATAAAAAATGTGTATTTATTCATCATAAATTTGCATTTGAGTAATTATTTTCACTCAATTTGTTGTTCCAATTTAGGAAGAATTTAAACGATCGCGGAATCCTAATCCAATTCTGTATTTTTTCTCATTCCAGTGGATACTTCAGGAATTTCGCTTAATTAATTAAGTTAATTTAAGTAAAGTTAATAGCTAATTTTTTATTAAATAAAGAATTAATTATTTAGATTTATTTATTATAATTTGGTACGTTTGGTCACGCCTTGTACATAGTCTGAAACTGTTGTAACTCCTCCGGTCAGTCCGGCCACTTCCAGAAAAAACTTGTGAATATTATACAACTTAGGTAGCTTATCCAGTTCACAAAAGCGGACCTTGGCCTATACTTTCAAAAAAAGTTAAAAGATCGTAAGTTCATCAGCCAATCATTGACGGCATTTCAAGTAAAATCCACCAATCATAGACAATGAAATAGAGCGTAAGTACTTACGTTCACTTAGCGAGTTTTGAAAGTATGGCCCCAGGTCATTAGTTCCCCATATTTAAATAATTCAATATATATATGTATAAAATAACCCGGCTTTTACGTTGTCTGAAATTTTTGTAAATCCCACCGGAAGTCCAGCGACTTCCAGAAGAAAGTGGTGAATATTATACATCTTAGGCAGATTGTCCACTTCATAAGGGCGGGCATTGTCATTAATGCACCATATTTAAATAATTCGCAATATATATATGTATAAAAATAAATATATATATATATATATGTATTTTCGTTATCTGAAACTGTCATAACCCTCCGGACAGTGCAGCCATTTCCAGAAGGTGGTGAATGTCATATATCTTAGGCAGATTGTCCACTTCATAAGAACGGACTTCATCATTAATGCACCATATCTAAATAATTCACAATATATATGTATAAATAACCCAGCTTCCACATTGTCTGAAACTGAAATAACCCTCCGAACAGCCTGGCCACAGTCGGGACAGTCTGGACACTTGTGAATATTAAACATCTTAAAGGTAGCTTGCCCACTTCATATAAAAGCGGGCCTTATCATTTATTCGAATTATTTATTTATTCGAATTTATTTAATAAATTCACAATATTTATGCATAAAAAAAACCCGGCTTGTATATTATCTAAAACTGTCATAATTTATTCGGAAAGTCCGGCCACTTCCAGAAGAAACTTGCGAATCTTAGGTATAGCTTGTCCACTTCATAAAAACGGACCTTGTCATTAATTCCCCATATTTTCTTAATTCACAATATATATGCATATAAAACCAGGCTTGTACATTATCTAAAACTGTCATAATTTCTTCGGAAAGTCCGGCCACTTCCAGAAGAAAGTAGTGAATATTATACATCTTAGGCAGATTGTCCACTTCATAAGAACGGACTTCATCATTAATGCACCATATCTAAATAATTCACAATATATATGCATAAAAACCCGGCTTGTACATTGTCTAAAACTATCATAATTTCTTCGGAAAGTCCGGCCATTTCCAGAAGAAAGTGGTCAAGTCGACTTATTCATCCTACAACGTGGACGGCGGCCTGACGTCCGAACTAGACTCCCTGCGACGCGGTCCTACGGAGATGGAGATGGAGCGAGCGCTGTCCCAGGAGTCCCGAAACATCCTCGAGTCTAACAAGTTCTCATCGAGGTCCACTGAAAACAGCAAAGGTTAGTTTTTGATCTTTTTTAGTTCTACCTAGTTGATCGAAATTTTACTAATTTTATTAAAAATTTATATTTTTGTATAAGAACATTAGTTCATAAATATATGAACATTTTCTTTCACAGCTATTATTAATAATTTTTTTTATAATTTTATCAAAAAATTAAATTTTTATTAAAAATTATAATTTTATTACGAAATTTGTAATTTTATTTAAAAATTTAATTCCACAAAAAAAATTAATTTTTTCTAATTTTAGAAAATTTGTAAAATTTTAATTACCATATTGACCAAAGTATATTTATGAATTGAAAGCAACGTAGTTTTCCCCTGACACTGTCGCGTTTCTCTGTTACGTCAAAAAAAAAACGTTCCTCTTTGTCAAAAAAAATTACGCTTGGAGATTAGGTTGTTAATTTTTTTTATTAATTCCATCATATGTCTTGGTAATTGCGGTTGTTGACGACGGATGATTATCTTTTAAGTAAACAAAATTTACAATTAATATTTCTGTTCAACTGTATCGTTAATGGATCATGATGAAAATTTTGAAAACTCTGAGCTGATATTGGCTAATAATTGTTCTATCCTATTCTGGCATGGCGCCTGCATGCTCAATAATCTTCTCTAATTGCTCAAATTATTCCTAAATTTCAACATCGATAATTAGCGTACTTTTAGGTTACTTTTAGGTTAAAGGTTAGAGTTTTAAAAGGTCCAAAGGTTAAAGTTTCGAAGCACGAACAATTGTAGCGGTTAGCAAGTTTAAAGCGCGAGCAACAAATTATAAGAGTTTGCAGTCTATATATACTATTAAAGTATTTAAAATAATTTAAAATATTCTCTGTAGAGATTATGTCGTTGCTGAGACACCAAGAGTTTCTTATAACTAGATGACTGCTGCTGTCGTTATTCCGTAGTGGCTTACAATTGCATATAACAAATTAAAAATTATAATTAATTAGTTAATTAGTGCTTATACAATTGCATTTATTGCATATATCTATCTGGTCAAAGTATGCGTGAGTCACGCGACTTTTTTTCTCCTACAGAACCAAGAAAACCTTTTAATTTATTTTCTTGCAGATTAATGTGTAATAAACAGAACGTTCTAAGTCAAAAATAAACTAAAGTTTTACGAATAGTATTAACTAATTTTTAACGTCGATGCTGTATAAAAATTATGAATATACGATGTAATAAGTATATCTAAAATAGATATAATGAATATTTTCACTGATTTCTGGCGGTTTGCTTTCATACTTTCATTTCTTATGACTTCAACTTATAAAAACTTTCCTTCCTATACTATTAAATTTTCTAGCTCGATGTACGTGAATGCTAAAAAATTATTTCCCACTGAAGAAACATTAATTAAAAAGTAAATGTCTCGTTTCATTATCACATTTTCAGCCTTTTTTCCTCTATAGTTCTATCTCTTCTTTTCTATTGTTGATATCTTCAAAATTTATCTCATTGCTGCAGCACCGAAAGATTCTTTTAAACAACAATTATCGTAATTTCAAAGTGCATTACTAGAGTGTTGATTCCGTGCAACATTCTCACATCATCACTCCATAGTGTCCATACAATTTTCACCTAATCTTCACTCATCACCTAATCTTCACTCATCACCTAATCTTCACTCATCACCTAATCTTCACTCATCACCTAATCTTCACTCGTCACCTAATCTTCACTCGTCACCTAATCTTCACTCGTCACCTAATCTTCACTCGTCACCTAATCTTTACTCGTCACCTTAGGATTGACCCTTTCACCAATTCCTAAGTGCATAGGTGAGCCCTAACCCTGTCACCTAGGATTGACACTTTCACCAATTCCTAAGTGCTTAGGTGAGCCCTAACCCTGTCACCTAGGATTGACCCTTTCACCAATTCCTAAGTGCATAGGTGAGCCCTAACCCTGTCACCTAGGATTGACCCTTTCACCAATTCCTAAGGGCATAGGTGAGCCTTAACCCTGTCTGCTAGGAATTGACCCTTTCATCAATTCCTAAGTAAACCCCTAAAATAGCTGTACCAATTTAACTTACAGTTATACCATCTGTTATCAAGTGAGTTTTTTAATATATGTGATACTTATATAGTCACCTACTTCTGTTTTAAAGGTGTCCGTTATGATACATTATGTTTAGCACACTATTTTACCTGTTGTGAACGAAGAAGTTCATGTCAAGTTTAAAACGGTGTCATATGATATACTTACTTGCCCAGTTGGTTAAAAACTTAGCGATGTTTTGCACAAACGGCTATTCAGGATTTTGTAATTAAACACACGAGTCATATTTCTGCAGAAATAAAATTTCATTAGTTGCTCACTAACGTTTTCTGATCCCCTCGCAAAAAAAAAATAATAATTTTTAGACTTCCACAGAAAATCGCTTAATTTGCAAATGGTCGTGAAATGACCAGCAGGTGCCTGCAGTCCCCTTCGCTAATTTTTCCAAAATTTTCCCCTTCGTCAACAATTCATTTTAATTTGATGGATTGTTGAAATTTGAAATCTAAGATTCCATATGAGAGAATGAGATCATATTTACATTCCACTCACCATTCAGGAATTTGTTTAATTCTGTTTCCGTTTTAAATCAAAAGTTCCACCCTCTTCACACACAAATCTATCGCATATCCACGTAATATAGACGCACCTTCAGTATTTCAGTGCTGTTCTCATTGTTCTTTTCTTAATTAATTATGTCCATCTAAGAACTCACGAGAGGTTTGAATTGCTGGCATAGATATATGTACTTAACCACAAGTTGAAGAATAGAGAAGATTAGTGAAGATTAGCGAAGATTAGTAAAGATTAATGAAGATTAGTGGAGATCAGTGAAGATTAGTGATGATTAGTGAAGATTAATGAAGATTAGTGAAGATTAGTGAAGATTAATGAAGATTAGTGGAGATTAGTAAAGATTAGTGAAGATTAGTGAAACTAATTTTCGGCCTGAAGATTAGTTTTAATGAGAGTGTAGATTGTGGAGCGTGAGCGTTTGTGGACGTTTGTTTACATTATTTGTGCAAGTCACGGCTCAAAAATATTTTGATTTCATAATGTAATACCACCGACTGATAAATTAATTTTTGAATGTAAAATGTGAGTTTTTAAAATAATACTTATTAATTTCTTAGAACTTATAACATAAACGGAAATCCGATTTCAAATTTTTCTGAATTTTTTGTATTTATAACTACATATATATACATGAAAATTAATTTCCATTAAAATGACATCTTGCACAAAAATGTATTGGCTATTGATCTAAATTTCGCTAATTGCCAGACTCAAATATGATTCTAAATCAAATTTCACTTTAATTTTGTTCTCATTCCAATACAAATCTAACTTTAATTCAGATCTCATTCCTATACAAATCTAACTTTAATTCAGATCTCATTCTAATTTAAATCTAACTTTAATTCATATCTCATTCTGATTCAAATCTCACTTTAATTTAGATCTCATTCTAATTCAAATCGCATTCTATTTCTAATCGCACTAAATAACTTATTCCATTTTAATGCTCCGCTGTTCAGCAAAACCTACTGTGTAACGCTGTTGGGAAGTTGGTATATATTGTGTGATTTTATTTATTTATGTTGGTCTTTGCAACGCATGTTTTTGGCTCACCACATTTGTGTTTATCAGCAGCTTCACAATTACAGTAAAAAAATTCGAGCGATTGTATGACAGTTAATAAGTTTTTCACTATGAAATGTAAGATTCAACTTATTAGAAGCGGGTCTAACATTAGAGCATCTGTAGGATGACGTTCATTTGGCTGTAACACGCACAGTATTTCGTTCACGTAATGCACACCAGCGCGGGGTGTATGGCACAAAAAATGTATAAAAGAAACTTTTTCGTGCGTGGCATGTATACATTCGCACCAAAATTATTTACTTAAACGGCTCAGAAAGGTTAATTGAGGGATTTTCCATTGATGAGATCTGTTGGAATTGATTCATTTACATGGGAGTTCTGTGATCGATGTTTAGTTAAAGTTTTGAGTGTTGAATTTGACAGGGTCTGATTCCGAGCCAGCAGTTCGAGAAAACATAATCAATAATCAACAACTGCAACAAGAATCACATTGGCAAAAACAGCACAAATCGCAGTGGCAAAAACAGCAAGAATTAGAGCGGCAAGTAATGACAAAACGAATCATCACCCAAACAAAAGTAACTTCTCAACAAAGATCTGAAGGGAATTTAATTCCCGCTGAAACAGTGATGCCTGTTCATCAAACGTACGAAAATGAACGAAAACAACGCAGTGCTTCAGCGGATGATATCCTAAAGCCTAGCAACTCTAACAGTGACTATTCCACACTCGGGAGGCTCAGGAAGAACATTAAAGAACTCAGTACAATGATAGACGACATGGACAACGAGGAGATGGAAAGACTCAATAAAAAATACTTGATACATGCGTCTGCAATACGACATGTTGACACACGAAGGGCATGCAGTGAGAACAACCTCCTAGAGCCTTCAGCTGACGAACGTGCGGTTCATCGCGAAGGTAGATTGCTTGCTTGCTATGGGTGGTCCTTTGAATTATTTGGCTTGCTTTTGTTAAAGTCTTTGACACCAGGTTTTGGTGGAGTGTGATCCTGAGATATTGCAAGTGCGTTCATATTGGCATGTGTATGCGTATACGAGACCTGACACTCGAGTTTTCTGTCAAAGTTCCTCCTTAGATTTGTTCGCAACTTTTCAGCGTGATTAATGAAGCTCGCTTTGGATCAAGGTTTAAAGTGATCCTAAAATTTTTTCAACTAGTGTAAAAAGCTTACGTAATCGGCAAAATGCTGATGAACTGTTTCTGAGGAAGGTTAGAAATAGAAATGTTTACTTTTCCAATTGCTAAATTTGAAATTAATTTTTTAAATAAAATAATTTACCAGGATTTTTTATGAATACCTTTTTCACATTAATTGATCTAAAGTGACTTCAGAGAAGCTATCTTAATATACGGTTTAGTTACAAAATAGGCTAAACTACTATATGCAATCCATCCGAAACGTGAAATAATTTTGAGTGAAACTTGTAAATAATAAAATAACGTTCGGTTTGAAATGTTGCGTCCAAATAAGTTAAGGTAAGATAAAGAGAGGGTGAAGGTCTCGTAGCGCCTACCTGCATATTCAGACGGCTCATTTGGGCGTGAAAATTTGTGATTCATCCCTAGTCCTGCCGTGACTGTGTCAGTCAACTCGTTTCGTTGAATCGTTCCCTGGCTTGGAGGTGGTGTTATCTGCTTGCAGTTTGGTTTCAAGTTCGATTTGTTTCTTTTGAACTTGAAAAGTTTCCGTAAAAATATTTGTGTTCATTTTACGGGCGAGTTACGCCTTGGTCTTAAAATAGCACAACACTTCCAATATTGCTAAGCTATGCATTTATTCTCTTGTAACTGCGATGACGCATAATGAGTGAAAAACTTATTGTGTTGAACCTCCGAGTGCCGTTTCATCACAATGAATTACTTGCATGCTTTCCATACAACAAATTTGTCATAATCGTAATGTTCAACGATTCTCTCACGCCAGAATAGTAAGTCGGAGATCATGCCAGCTCGGTAATTGAACAGAATCTATCACTATAAAACAGAAAACTCTGTGTTTATAGTAGTAGTGATTTAATGACCAATGTCTGGCTGGGGAGTTTTTTGGGGGGTCCAATCAGTGGGTGGCATTAATGGCCAATTAGTGGGTGGCAACTCCGGTAATTTTGCTTGAAACCAGTTGTTTTAATTTCGCACTTGCTATATTACATAGTGTATGGTGTTGGCTTTGTTCGGTTGCCGTTGGACTTTAACACGAATACGAAGTTTGATCCTTTCATTTAGTTATGGATCAATGAAGAAAATATAGTTAAATAAACTAGTATCGCGAAAATGCTAGAAAAATCGCGCGTTTTACGATCCTCATATTGGTCAAAATTTTCGTTCGCGATAAAAGTGATAAGACAAAGTTTGTATGATTTATCTTACTGTTCATTAATTAAAGATAATTAGCAAGGATAGCATTCCAAATTTCAGACTTGCATCTTATTTAGGAGGGAGTTATTGGTTGCCTTCATAGTTAAGAATAGCCATAGACAACTAACCTTGACGGCCTTAATTGATGCTCACTCTTAACGTTCTGATTGGCTTCCGATGCTCGTAGATTGGTACTGCAGATCTGTCGCTCACTTTTCTCTGCCCCGCAACGGTTAGTCCAAAGCCCCGTCCAAAGTTACGTACGGTACGTGTTTACTGAAGAAATTAACTCGTTATGTAGTCAGTTTAGCTTGGGAATTTGTTTACTTGTTTGATGAATTCGCCACCTCCAACATAGCGGGAGGTGAACTTGTTGCTCGCATCCCGCGTTCGGCGCCTCGGCGCTGCACAAAGGTTCTCTGTTCTCTTCAGCTATCCGCCTCCTATATACCGTAGCTCTCGACTTCCTACTGAATTGTAGTGCACATAATACAGAGGGCAATGTTATAATATCCGCCGATATAACATATTGCATAACTGCATAACATAACAAAACACTACATAACATAACATGACAAAACATGACACAGTATAACAAAACATATCATATCATAGTGATCTCGGCACTGAAAAATAGGCCGGCGTGACTACATAACATAACATGACAAAACATAACAAAACACAACACAGCATAACATAACATATGATATCATATCATAGTGATGTCGGCACTGAAAAATAGGCCTGGCGTGGCCTTTTAGATATTCTTGTACTTTTTGTGACTTGTTAGCAGGATATCTAAAAACTGACCTTTTGACAAAATATTTTCAAAACTGACGTTGCTTTGAAATAGCTATTAGACATCCTCTATAGGTCCGTAGTGTGCTAGGCATTTCAAGACTGAACAAATGATTCAAAACAAAATGACGAACATTACAAAAGTTTTCCAGGTTTAATATAATCTGTGAATCAAGGATTTGTAAAAAGTTCAGTAAGGTGAAAATTTCAAAAATTTTACAGAGCAGTTTTATTTAATAACAAATTTGTTGGCAAAATTTCGAAATTGTTATTACGGTAGTTTATGCATCGAGACCAAAATTCTGATTTTGCACAAATATTTACCTAGCAAACTTCTGAAAAATTCATCGTCGTATTAATATACGCATTTATTATCATTTTTAACCTCTCATTGCCATCATTGTAATTGATTATTTTCCATGCTCTTACTCATATCAATGAGCATTAGTTAACCCTTAAAAATTAAAAAAACTCTGTCTGCTTTTGCTAGAAATTTCAATTCATCATCAGCATGATTGTGTGTGAATATTGTACAACTACCCCTCATGCCTAATGCTTCATCCGTCTACTCGTCTACTCGACTCTGCCTTCCTACGATTCCTGGTAGAATGTTTGCTTGGAATGAAATTTTCTACTTCGCATGCAACCTTAATTTTTTCTATTTATCTCAATTCTTCGAATACTTTCATTCTATAACGACATTTTATTAATATTGTAGATGAACAAAATTTGGCCTACATTTTACAGGGGCCCGACTTTATTTGATAGTGTAGATGTGGCTTCTTACCTGTGAATATTTTTTATTCATGTTATAATAATATATATATTTATATTTTTTTCTGTTAAGGATGCTTCTACTGTTTGTAAAGTTGACCCATTATTCACTGAAGTCAAGCTGACTAATTCAGTCAGACTGCGATACGAATATCTTTTCAATAAATTCCAATGGTTTGACTTGCGAAATTATCTAGTATGTTTGGGTAATTATTAGGTAATTAAATTAATTAATGTAATTTATGATTCAAAATACTTACACAAATTTAATTTAAAAAATAAATAACCTAATGGTAGATTGAAATATAGTTATTATTTATAGTTATTAACGTGGAATAATTATGTTCTCAGGTCGAGACGGCCGTTCACTCTCCAATGGACATTACGAGTAAGTTCATTTGTATTAACACTCAAAAAAATCTGCATGAATGTCCATATAGCGATGTACTTTTTGCCCTCGTGTTGCTCATCCTGACCAATTTTGGCTAGGAAAAATGCGTATCGGTGCTACGTTCGTTGTCTGTTCGTCGTGTGGGTAAAAATCGTGTCAATATTTGGGCAATATAACCTACTCATTACTGTGAGGGCTGATTGCGCTCTTTGACGTAGCGCAGTCTTTGCGAAAGGTGCTTATTTGTTTAGGTTTTTTAACGTCAATTCCACTTTCATTTCACAATTACGTCGTGCATTATTGTTCTTATCGACTTATTTTCTTACTGAAAACAGAATTATTTAAACGTAACAAATCCCTAATTACTTCGTTGGGGAAAATAATGAGTTTAATTGTCGGAGCATAGAAACGTTCCTTTTAAACAGAGAATATTAACGGAAAAATCGAGTTTCCTTGCCACTTTCTACGTAGTATCAAAAATATCTATCACATTCACATCACATTAGTTAATACAAAGAAGTACTAGTAATATTAAAGAAATGTAAATGTAGTAAAGAAGAAATACTAGTGCAAAATAATTCCAGCAACAAAAAATATCAAGTTTGCAGTTACTGCAAACAAATAATAGAAAGTTTGAAGTTGCTACAAACGAATGATATCAAGTTTGAAGTTACTACAAACAAATGATAGCAAGTTTGGAGTTGCTACTAACAAATGATATCAAGTTTGGAGTTACTACTCATAAATTATAGCAAGTTTGAAGTTACTTCTCACAAACGATATCAAGTTTGGAGTTACTACTCACAAATGATAGCAACTTTGAAGTTACTTCTGACGAATGATATCAAGTTTGGAGTTACCACAAACAAACCAATTAATAATAATAATAACATGGAGTTACTACAAACAAACCTATTAATAATAATAACAAATTATGTTTAATAACAATAACATAGTTTAATAACAAATTATATGTTCTGGCAGCGACGACATGATCATCAACGACGAGAAGGGCGGTGAAGTACGTCGCATAGTCTGGCGTAACCGCTACGAGAAGACCTACGAGACTACAGACTCCTCCACCCCTACCGTGAGTGCCTTCCACGGTCCTGCCTTGCCTACTATAGTTACTTTAATTGTTATAGTTACTTTAATTGTTCTTCATGAGTCATTTGCCTACACAAATACATAATTTATTCATGAGTTGTCTGCAAGGACAAATAAAAGTTGAAATTGCTGCTCTTAGTTATTTCCTAGTCAAAATTTGCCTATACAAATACATAATTTATACACGAGTTGTTTGCATGGACAAATACAAGTTAAACTTGCTGCTCTTAAATATTTTCTAGTCAATATTTGCGGTCACCCAATTTCACTCACAGTTAGTAACAACCTATCATCAAATTAAGCTATTCTCGCACGCTGGTAACCTTTAAAACGCAGTATTTTTCCAAACTGGTTTCATGTTCCTGTTTAACTGATATTTTTCATACTTGTTTGTTAGGTACTTGGGCACTAGTTTCCTATCAGTTACTGAGTGAATATTTTTTCTATTGAAGTGAGTTAAAATTTTAAATTTTTCTGATTTAGATTCTGAAGTCTAATAAGAGATATTAGATGACTTATTATTAGAATAGTGGCTATCTGCTTGAGGTGGCCGGGTGGTTGAAATCAGTTGGAAAAATCTTATTTTTTGCCGGGTGGTTGAAATCAGTTGGAATTTTTGGATTTTTTTTTTTTTTGAACAGCCAAAAAAATGGAGCAGCGTGTTGGAGGGGCAAGAATCACAACTTTTTGAAAAAAATTCGGTTGGAAATGGCAAAATGGCCGGGTGATTACGAATTGGCTTCAAGCCAAGATGGACTAAATGAAATTGACACATTTCTATTATTATTATATATTAGAACCATATAGTATTATCATTTATTATTATCTACAAGTGAAGTCACGTCTACAGATCAGCATAGAGAAGGACGCACAAAACAGGCGCTACATGTCCTCTGATGTCACTGAGGCCAACACCATCAGTAGCCTCACCCGTCCTCACGTGCCTCCTCAGGTCAGGCTTGGGACTTGGTCAGGCTTTTTATCAGGCTTGGGACTTGGTCAGGCTTTTTATCAGGCTTGGGACTTGGTCAGGCTTTTTATCAGGCTTTTGGGACTTGGTCAGGCTTTTAATTATGCTAAATGTAACAATTTATTGCTTTGACCTGACCTCAGGCCAGGCTTTTCAAAGCCTGACCTGAGGCTTTATAAAATTATGCTAAAAGTAACAATTTATTGCATGTTGCATTTTTAATATTCATTTGAGGCCGGAATTTCATTTCTGAATTTTACTATGTTTCCATGTTAAATTCGAAATATCCCGACAAATTATGTGTATTAAAAGAATATTTCAGGTGAGTTCTGAGTCCATAATTTATAATACTTAATTAATAATGTTGTATACGTGAATAATGGTTTACGGCGAGACCGTAAACCATTCAATGTATCCCTGTGAGACGTCGTATTTTCATATAATTTAGTGATAGATTTATTGCGGCATTCAGACCAAGTTGCTATTATTGTGCTTAGAGTTTCATTTTAATGACTGGCATTAGAATATCTGCTTTTCCGTGAATGGGATTTAAGTTCTTAATTGCATTAACTAATTATTTTTAAAATTCAGCAATAAAACTATCGAATTCTTCTCAAGTCATGTACGGAAATTTATTTCGCACGTCCTTTTATATAAATATCAGTATTTTATTGCATGCTTTAAATTCAACAAAACGTCAGACAGATTACATCCATATGAGACATCTATTTCATTTCTAAATATTTTCTTTTGAATTCTTTCATCAATACGATCCTGTATGTGCATTCATTTTAGAATGAACCATCTGAATGTCTATGCTCCGGTCAAGAATGTTCCGAGTTCTCATTGTTACGAACGTACGGTTTATTAATTACCCTATTTACATCGATGATTTATCTCGCCTATGTAAACTCATCAAAACGACTCTGAATTCAATATTTAGGGAGCTCTTCTTTGAGAGTCTGTATCGTTTGAGAGTCGGTATCGTTTGATAACTCTTCTTTGAGAGTCTGTATCGTTTGAGAGTCGGTATCGTTCGATAACTCTTCTTTGAGAGTCTGTATCGTTTGAGAGTCGGTATCGTCCGATAACTCTTCTTTGAGAGTCGGTATCGTTTGATAACTCCTCTTTGAGAGTCTGTATCGTTTGAGAGTCGGTATCGTTTGATAACTCCTCTTTGCGTGTCTGCATCATTTGAACTCTTATTAGTGCAATAACAAAGTCTTGTAAATAAAAGTAAATAAAATTACGAATAAAATATTTAATTTCCGTTGTATGTATACGTACAAGGGTAATGCGTTGTATATTGGCTCTCTATTGCGCAGTGGTTTTAAGCCCGATACAAATGTGCATCAACGTGGCAGAAGCTTAAAGACATTCCTATAAATGATATTTTTTAAACCAGGAAATAATTAGTATTTGAGATTAACAGATACCCCTACATTTACCTAATACCTCTACGATTAACAGATACCTTAATGATTAACAAATGTTTTTAAGATTAAATACAAACCAATCCGCCATTCATACCATTACATATAACAGCAAGTCTCTGTGTAGTCAATTATACCGATTGCGCAATGAAACCGTAGAATTTTATTTCAAATCAAAAACTATAGGTCCACATCGCAAGGAGAATGCGCATCAATGTGGACTATATAGAACCTCATGATACACTGTTAGAAACAACGGCGAAAAAACGGTCCCACTGGCATTCTAGTGGCCGGTCGCCCCGTGAAAATAAACTCTTTCGCCGTTTTTATCAGATGTTTTACGGATTTCAAGTGTCAAATTAGAATAAAAACGGCGACACGGTGTTTCTTTTCACGTCCCGACCGGCCACTGAAACGCCCGTAATACCGTTAACGGAAATTTTTCTAACATTGTATATTTGCCACAAAAGACCATTTCCTTTACTCCCATTGACAGTGTTTCCAAACGATCACTCGAACTCGGGCTTACACAATTTTCATAGATCTTGCATAGATGCTGCTGTGTTTGACGACAAGATGTTTGTTTTTCCTTTACTGCCATTGACATTGTTTCCAAACGATCACTCGAGCTCGGGCTTACACAATTTTCATTGATCTTGCAAGGATCCTGTTGTGTTTGACGACAAGATGTTTGTTGTGCAGCGAGGCTCAGTGTCTCCCAAACAACTGACTTTGCAGTACGCAGTTTACTGGCCAGGAAGTCCTGGAGTGAGTCGTCTTCTGAATTACGCTTTCATTATCCTTGCATCCTCGTCAGCTTTTTAGCTTTTGCATTTTTTTAGAAAACCTGGCACAGAAAATTTATTCCATAAATTAGAGTCTCTCACTAGTTTCATGTAAAATTAAAACTATTGTATTGACACTAGCATCGTTGCATATACTCACCGTTTTTTCGTTTGGAAGTCAACCTGTGACTCCATTCGCGCCACGTAATGTAATCGACTAGTAGCTCTTCATGTGGTTGTAAATATTTTCATTTGAGCCTAGTCCTAGCATTTCCATAGAATCTTTCCCAAATAAAAGGCGGCAAGATGATCAAGCTGAAGATGTGCCCATTGTAAGTTAGGAACAAATTGACTTCTGAAGTAAACTAATTTTTTAATCAAGTGTAGCATAAACGGACAGTCGTGGCACGACTTATCTTTATGCCCTTCAGTTTGAATCTAGACCGCCTGCTCTCAGTTGACTCTCTTTAGAATAACATCAGCAGACATCATATAATACCTGAAGACCAATTTGCAATTACCGATGTTCCGTCAACGTAAACTTTTTAAAATGAAATCACGGCCATTTTTCGCTTGCGTTGTTGATACCGTATCAGCTTCTGAAAAGTAAGTATGAAGCTGCTGATACACTTCGTTAATTTCCAAAATCTTCATGACATCGACAGATTTGGACAACTCGGCAACCGCATTTGGGCGTGTACGTTGTAGACTACCACATATTTGTTGCGATTAAATACTTCTATATATAGTACGACCATAATGTGATGATGCACTCATCATGCTGTGGTGCGTGCAGTGATGAAAGTATTTGAGTCAAATTTAAGCAATTAGTTGATCGGTAAAGACGTCGTTAATGATATCTCGAATTGCATATATAGTTGTCATTACACGCAGTTTCAGTACATAAAACTCAATCATAATTTGCTTTGACTTCATGTAAAAATTCTCTTATGCTCATGTCCGATAAACGTTTGATTTGGGCTTCAAAGCTGCTTATCTTATATATTTTACATCATATTATATCACCCCACTGATTCAAGTAATTTTTTAGCCAATATCCCTGCGCTAATGTTGTGACCTTGCATTCTTTTATTCATGGTTGTTTATCTTATATTCTTTTCCGTTTTATTATATCACTTATATGGATTCAGTTCGAGACCTTTAATTTTAATTAATTTTAATTTTTATCCAATGTTCGGCAGCCACGGTTGTGATCTTTTCATCCGTCATTCATCACGCTTTGTTTCTTTGCAGTATCCTGGAACTCCATTCAGATCAATTAAATACCCGAAAACCTCCTTTTACATTTATTTCCTAAGGGAAATGTCCCGTGATAAAAGCAAATATTTCTATTAGTTCTTTAGCTGGACATGTTATGTATGTTTTATATAATCTTAATATATAGCATATGGTCCGAGAATAATCATCCAAAAATATTCCTATCGTACCAAAGTTTCTTGCCTAATAATAATCAATTTTTTATGACTTGAGATGTGGGTTGTCTATATATACTTTGTGTTGCCTTGATGTAAATAATTCTGATCGGTATTTTTATTATTATTACTATTATTAAAAAAATCTGATCGATATTTTTGTAACTTATACTATACATTATCTCTTACTTTACCATTGAATGATATTAGCACCTCATCTTGATAAGTTGATGTTTCTTCCGATAATAAAATTAATCCGGATCTATAACGAAACTATTGATACTTTTTTTAACATTGAAAGCGAAGCTGATCTTTACCTAGCTAAAATATTTTGAACGGTGGAATTGGCTAAACGTTCCATTTTTTATCCTACCGATCAATTTTTACCAGGATTCATTTTTTTCACGCCCCCAACAGTCATTCTTATCAATTTTTACCAGGATTCATTTTTTTCACGCCCCCAACAGTCATTCTTATAGTACTTGTGTCATTTTACTTCTAGTTGGCCCTGAAAAGGAATGTGAACGCGTAATAACTTGCGTATTTGATTACTTTTCCTTCATTTTTGTTCAAACCATAACTATTTAAGAGTATATATTCCCCCATTTCATCTTAAACTTAGAGGTCCAGGAGTATATATTCCCCCATTTCATCTTAAACTCAGAAGTCCAGGAGTATACGTATATTCCCCCATTTCATCTTAAACTTAGAGGTCCAGGAGTATATATTCCCCATTTCATCTTGAATCGATTGAATTCTACTAACTTGCTTCTAATGCTTCAAGTCCCAGGCTAAATAAGTCTAATACTGTACAATATTTGCCTAAGAGGCGTGTCAGTATAATTTTTACACCCCATAGTAATCCTAATTAGTCCTACTTTAGACCCCTGTAGCCAATAGTAAATTTATTCCTCGATCTGTGCTAGAATACAAATTCCATGCATGGGCGTGCTGTAGCATCTGGAATATTCTCTGAAACATAATACCGTGCTAATTAATTCTAAATTCTAGACCGATAGGTTACGAATATCCCGGCAATACCCGAATAGCTTAAATGTGAAAATGTAAATCAATTGTGAATTTTGAAGCGAGCTAACTTCAAACCAGTAACGTAATAGGAGTAATGGCATTCATTAACCATTAGCTTTGTGGGTTTGCTACTAACATCACTAATGGCCTTACAGATCTCGCCCGGAGGCCAGTCCTGGGCAGAGCCCGTGCCTCTGCCAACGCCCCCGCAAATTTCCCCTAACCGGGAGCCCGGAGTCGCCTACATATACAACTACGGTAGCCACGGAGGCTCAACTGTCCAGCCCCTGCCACCTCTGAATTACGTGGCTGTGGCACCCCCTACAGGCGACGGTGCTCCGTCACCCACGCCTTCTAACCCTACAGGCCAGCCCGTAATATATCACTATTCCTACCATTACACCATCCAGCCCGGGCAACCGCTCCCAGACGGAGCACACCCGCCTAGTTCCCCCCCTACTTTGCAGATTGCTCCCCCACCCGCCAGCGGGTACAGTGCCAACTCCACCAACGTCAACAAGACGACCATCAACGAGGTGCATCACCACACCACCAGCCGGGACACTAGGCATCACGTCACCACGAACAAAGTCATCCACGAACCACCGCTCGGGTACCTTGATGATGGCAAGCCTGACTATCCTGGTAATGGAAGACCTGGGTATCCAAGGGACGGACAGCCTGGGTATCCCAGGGACGGACAGCCTGGGTATCCCAGGGACGGACAGCCTGGGTATCCTAGGGACGGACAGCCTGGCTATCCTGGTGACAGAAAGCCTCCTGCTGATGGCAAACCAGGCTCATCCTCCATCAACTACTCAGTGAACTCTTCGACAAACTACGTAACAGAGACGCACCACCACCCCTTCCCAACAGGTCCAGGAGATAAGGGTCCTAGGGAACCCCCATACGACGACCGCGACCCTCCTCTTCGACCTAACGACCCCAGTCGCAACATTACGATCAACATCAATAAAACAACGACACATACGACTCGCACCACACGAGATGGCGACTACCCGTCGGGGGGCGATCAGCCCCTGACGTCGACGCCGTATCGTGGCCGTTCGCGCTCCCCGGACCGACGGTATCCTTCGGAGCCGAGGTATCCTTCGGGACCGTCAGACTCCCTGGAACGCGTGCGTAGGGTCAGGGAGCCGGGGTTGCCTTTCCCCGACACTTCCCCTGTACGGCCTGTGGGTGAACAGCGACTTCCACGCAGAGTCGATGACCTGCTTAACGAATTCCCCGTAAAGGTTAGTACGTTACTTATATGATTCCTATCGTAGCGTTACTATTTGAGTTACAATTTCTTGGAAAGGTAATTTACAAACCTTTTAACGAATTAAATTGAAAGGTGAGAATATACCAACCAATTCGCTTGTAAAAGGTGACGCGTTACTAAAAATTTTTGTTTCATTAGTACTGGGTTCGTTAGGAATGGTTATGCGGAATTGACTATGTGGTACTTAAAGAAATGAATTGAATTATATCTAAAAAAAAGTGCTGCAATTGATGCATTAATAATCTAATTAGATTTCTTTAGCCTGCAAACAGTAATAAAATCAAAAATTAATATATTAATATCAGTCCTCGCTGAGAGTAAAAGATTCCACATGCATTATCGGTGTTTCAGTACATTCATTCATTCACTCATAACAACGAGCAATTTGAACTCGACTTATTTAATTCTTGCATGCATCTTTTAAGAAAATTCATAGAAAAAGTTTTCATTTGTACCACGTCCACACATTACCGTTTGGGATTTATCTCTTCAGAATGGAGGGCCACACCGAACCGGTTACAATGCACACCCGGACTCTGAACCACTTCTGTCCACTCAGGTGAGTCAGGAATGTCTTGATTGTTGCGACATTTGTAAGTTGCTTGTACCGATGTTATAATAATTTTAATCATTTAGTTAGTTAGTTAATTAGTTAGTTAGTTTAGTTAGATAACAGCGCAAATTACATAGTAGCACGTTTTTCTTAATGTGTGACTATGTAATTCTTAAGTTACCGATCTTAAACCATGCTGCATGAAACAGAGAATTATGACTAGTGAATATATTATATTATTATACGGTGAGATTCTCGTGACGTCTGTCCAAAAAAAATGATAGGATTTCACATTAATTAAACGATACCTTTGACAGACCCGACATGTCCGGGATGAAATCATCATCCCGCCCCCCGAACGCAACGAAATCAACACCGTGAGTCCGGCCAAGCTGCGGGAGGAGCGCGAGAAGACCAAGAACATCGCGGGGCCCCCCGTGTACTACCCCCCAGGGCATGAGGCCTTCGCTGAGTCCATGCATGTGCGTTACATTTGTTATTGTGGATTTTATTAATATTACACATATTATTAGGGATTTTATTCCCTAATACAGAAATTATTATGGATTTTATTAGTATTACTCATATTATTAAGGATTTTATTCCCTATTACACATATTATTATGAATTTTATAACATTATACACATATTATTAAGGATTTTATTACATATTCATGTATAAGATATATGATCACATGATCATATTAGATTTATTATTATGGATTTTAAAACATATTCATGTATAACATATATGATCATATGATCACATTAGATTTATTATTATGGATTTTATAACATATTCATTTAAAAGATATATGATCATATGATCATATTAGATTTATTATTATGGATTTTATAACATATTCATGTATAACATATATGATCATATGATCACACTAGATTTATTATTATGGATTTTATAACATATTCATGTATAACATATATGATCATATGAACACATTAGATTTATTATTATGGATTTTATAACATATTCATGTATAACATATATGATCATATTAGATTTATTATTATGGGTTTTATATATATATTCATGTATTACATATATGATCATATGATCATATTACATTTATTTTTATGGATTTTATAACATATTACATATATTATAATGGATTTTTTATGAATCGATTGTAAGGAGCATTCGGTGCTGTTGAAAAATTAATGAAATAACTGTTTAGCCATATAGAAACAGTGTGATAAATCTTTCCTTTTGAATTTTTCTGAGATGACAAATTTTTCCAAATTTGGCATTCGCCGCATTAAATGCATGTGCTTTTTGTTTATTATTGTAGATATTTGAAAAACAAAGTTTTGCAGCGATTATAAAAAGAAACGTAATTTAGGTACGTAGAACAATGAGAAAAATGCGTATTGCGTCTTTTATTAGGTTGTTTCTTTTGGCAACTGCTATGAAAAAATTCAAGTTTTTGATCTTTATCTTAAAAAATCTTCATCAGTAATTTATATGCCCGAGCAAAAAATATAAATAAATAAGCTAGTCTATACTCTCGAGAAAAGATAATCGAAAAAATCATTATAACTTAAAAAATAAATAAATAACTTCAAAAATAAATAAATTGAATAAGAAAAGAGGAACATTATAAAAAAGAGCGTGCCAGTTCTTCGACCGTTCACAGCTGTGTTGATGTTTAGAAAGTGAGTCCTTATTTAGACAATATGACTTACTGTTTCTTCTGAGTGGTTTATGGGAATGTTATCCCAGTTTTTGTCTAACCCAAGCTGCTTCAACCGTTCACTGCTTGTGCTGTTTTTTAGAATGTGTGTCCTTATTTGGACATTATGACTTACTGTTTCTTCTGAGTGTTTGATGGGAATGTTGCCCCGTGCAGACGATGACGCTGAAGGTTAGAAAGTGAGTCCTAATTTGTACAATATGACTCCTTTTAATTTGTACAATATGACTCATTGTTTCTTCTGAGTGGTTGATGGTAATGTTGCCCCGTGCAGACGATGACGCTGAAGGTTAGAAAGTGTGTCCTTATTTCTACAATATGACTCATTGTTTCTTCTGAGTGTTTGATGGGAATGTTGCCCCGTGCAGACGATGACGCTGAGGGTTAGAAAGTGAGTCCTTATTTGTACAATATGACTCATTCTTTCTTCTGAGTGTTTGATGGTAATGTTGCCCCGTGCAGACGATGACGCTGAAGGTTAGAAAGTGAGTCCTTATTTGTACAATATGACTCATTATTTCTTCTGAGTGTTTGATGGGAATGTTGCCTCGTGCAGACGATGACGCTGAAGGAGGAAGGGCGTCGTGGCAAGGCGAAGTGGCGGCGGGAGGCGGCGTCAGGCTACAAGGAGAGCTCCTCGCACTCCGAGAGCAAGGGAGACATGAAGGTGGTGCCCCTGTGCCTGCCTCTCTGTGGGGGCTTTGCCTGCACCATCATGTAGAGTGGCCAGCATGTAGAGTGGTCATCATGTGGAGTGGCCACTATGTAGAGTGGTCAGCGTGTAGAGTGGCCATCATAGTGGTCGTCATCTGGAGTGGCCACTTTGTTGAGTGGTCGTCATGTGGAGTGCGAATGTAGAGTGGCCATCATGTGGAGTGATCGTCATGTGGAGTACGATCATGTAGAATGGCCATCGTGTAGAGTGGTCGTCATGTGGAGTGGTCGTCATGTAGATTGGCCACTATGTTGAGTGGTCGTCATGTGGAGTGCGATCATGGAGAGTGCGACGTGACCACCATGTAACCATCTTGAATAATCATTGCAGTATCATGTTATCTTGTCATCATGCCGAGGGCTTCCATGTAACCACCTTGAACTGTACCATCATGTAATCATGTCACCAAGCAACAATAAGATTTGATGGTGTAAGTTAACAGAATTATGTATTAATTAATATGTATTAATTAATTATGTATTGCTGTCTAACAGACGACCTTTGGACGGTCAACATGCAAATGTCTATCAAATAGAAGATGCTTATTAAGTTATATATATCATCATGCGACGTACGAGCGGAACGAAATTACATCGTCGTAGCAGAGGGTAAATTTTTCTGTCTGTCTTCCCTCAAATTAATAAAATTTTTATTAATTGAGTTCTTCTTGATGAACTCGTTTTATAAGGACAAAAAAAATTCAATGGTAATAAATAATTCGCGTCTAACATCTGTCTCATGCTTTGCAATTCTGTCCATTGTTCATCAATATTTTTGGTCTCTTGAATAAACGTTCAGGAATTAACACTTTATTTTGTATTTTTTTTTGTTGCTTTCTAAAAACTATGTTATTAATATATTAATATCTGAAATAAATTTTTCAGCAAAATTTTCAGCCTGTTTCCATCTCAAAAAAATTGTTCTTTTTTTAGAGTTTTTCATGAAGTATTTATTCTGTGAAACGATAGTGTAATGTTTCGTGAATTTTATCAACACTTTTTTCACGAAAAATAATTTTTACATTTTCATACTTATTCTTCTTCAGAATAAATTTATATATTTTCATATTTTGTTTCCGACTTGATATTCTAAATTGCCCAATACGGTTTAATTGGGTCAATTATTTATTATGATATTATTCCGTGTTCAAAGGAATTTACTCGATTAATAATTTTAGTAATTAAATATTACTGTTATCAATTAATAAATCATTTATGGATGTTGCAACCCTATAGTTAAGCCCGCCGGTGCTGTTTCTAACTCCTGTACATATTAAGCATTTGTCATAATCACTAAAGATATTGGTAGCACATTTAGCTCCCGATAATTGCGATTAATAATCAACTATAAATTTAAAACACTCGAGAAGAAAAAAACCTTTTGCTGATATAAATTCGATATTTCACTTAGCGATTAATAATCAACTATAAATTTAAAACAGAAAAAACCTTTTGCTGATATAAATTCGATATTTAACTTAGTACTCCTCCCTATTTACTTAATTTACACGAAAAATAGCTATAAAATTCAAATTTTTGAGAAAATGCCTTTATCCAGAGCTGCCTGTATTGATAAGCTGCTTGAATGTGCGCGCAAATATTGTCTTTCTGTATGTGTATAACGAATCTATCACGGTGCCTGAGAATCTAATTTACTATTCTAATTAATATCTTCGGCTTTTTGCCGTCATCACCTGGCTGCAAATCAATGCTTGTGGTTGGTAATAATTGTTATTACTTTAAAAGATTTGATCTTTTAATTAGCATGCGTGATTGAAACCGCGACTGTGTCACAAAAAAAAAAGTTTTTGCGGCCATTGGACTCAAACGTTTTTTCATCGAAAAGTCATTTTCGGTTTTTGGTTTGCTAGCCTTAGATGCTAAGTATAGTCAAGCATTTGAAAAGAATATAGTATATTAAATGCGTGCTTTAACTGCTTGAATAATGCTGTTGTTTGCGCCCTAACGTCAAGTGGATGTAAAGCTTGTCTGTCTCGTAAAATTTGTCGTCGTTCGGTGGTGGAATTTGTCGTCGTTCGGTGGAAGTGAATGTAAGTTTTGTACGTGGAACCGTTGTTTTTTCTGGAAAGCACATTGAACTTATAAAGGTTAATGTATTGAAAGGAAATTCCAGAGAAGAGAAAGGAACTCCTGTTTAGCTATGGATCCAGTTGCGAATGATCTAATAATCGAAACTTAAAATTAGTAGCAAAACGTTCGTTTTGATGAACTTCGTGTCTTGTCAGTGCCTAACAATATCTTAGTACTTAAGATTTAATGTGAATTAAATATCAATAATGGATATGTGTGTTCACGTGTTGGGTATCGCTAGTACTCAAGCCATTACGTGTGTAATTCAACGAATTTTTTCTATTACTTTTAATCTATGCCTTCTAATCTCGGAAATTAACTGAGCTGACTAACATGAAGCAGTGAGTACATCGTCAGTTTGAATTCGCGATGTATATCAAAGTGGGCAAAAATACAACATGTATTCTTACTTATCTAAATTTTTCTTATTAAATGCTCTTGAACATTTTCTACAAGACGGTGTTTTATATTAAACGTGCCTCGAATTTAAACAAATTATCGTGAAAAAGTAGACCGCATACTAGAATTTTTCTGACAAAGCTGAACGCGGTCAGAGTTTTTCAAACACTAGAATATTACTTCAGTGTTAAGGTATTCATTATATAATATTTGAGGTTGTTCATGATCGTTGTGTTTTATGGCTGAAGTTATTGATATTATTGAACAAAGCATGGGCTTCCTCTACACTCAGAGAACAATGAGTCATGTTGTCCAAGTAGTGACACACTCGTCGTGACACTGATAAGTTTTTTTTTTTTTTTTGGCGGGGCAAAATTTGACAGGGTCACCCACGCACTGGCAATAAATGCTTCACTATTCGAATAAAGGCTCACTCATTTCCCTGAGAGTAGATCTAAAGGACCGTGATCTTGCACATCTTGTTTATTGTTCAGCAGATAATAAATGTGTGCGTCAGTACGATGACTTGAATTAAATTACTACTTAATTTATGATGATCTACTACTTAATTGATGATGATCCAATTGATGAATATCTACGACACATACCTATACTTTTTGGGCGTAAAATTGCACTGGATTGAAATTTAACAATTATGTTGCTAGACTAACAACTTGATAATTTGTTATTCCTGAGTTTGAAGAAGCTCTTACTGAAAATTCGGATCCAGTGACAACATCTGCACACTTGCACCGCAATGCAGCGTTTCAGGAAGAACTATAATGTACTTTCGTAGCTTCTCTGTGTCAGCAGTGAATTTGATCAACATATTATGAAAAAGCGGCTCCTTCAGCGATTATCCTTGAAATTATTAATGACTGTAACGAAAAAAAATTTCAATCCAGTGTTGAAATCACTCGAACACCTATACTTCCAAATGACGATGTGTAAATTTTTTTATATATTATTGTTGAATAAGCAATTTGCGACTACAGCACTTAAATTAATACTTTAATGCCATAGCGTGCCTTCTAAATCCGAGCCCTAGCTTAGCCGCCAAATCCTGTATTCGTAAAATTAACTATGTTGTCTTCCACAAAAGTAGCCCAAGAGAATTGCTTCTTTATACTCGCCACCACTACTCGCCAGATGCGGATTTAAAACTCGTTTTTCTCCAGGCTTCTTTGTAATCGAAATCAAATATAGACTAAGAAATACATAAATTATTTGTTTTGTTATTTTTCCTTCAAAGTCCACGAAGCTTGAAAGCCCTTACCTAATATCTTGTTGAGTACATGGTTCCATACTTCTCACATCACTTATGTAAATCGCAGACAAATACCTACAAAATTGCAGCGTATCTTGATTGCGTAACTACCAACATTTGTAACTACCAACATTTGCGTTACTACCAACTTATCAAGGCACACATGGAACCCAGATTTTAAGATTACCGTACACCAAAATTTGAGTCAAATGCTAATTTTCAACGCGCTAAATTACCTTTCAAAAATAAATATCAAACGAATCTGGTGTAATTTTAAATATTCATACTTCGTCATACATTAGGAATCTTTTGTTTCAATGAATTATTGCATGCTTTCTATGATAGATATTGGTCATGCAGCGTTTAATTTTTATTGCTTGAAGTGTCTTGAAGGAAGAGTGGCTTTCGGGCAACTCATGACAACGCTGCCAGCGAGAGGTCAAGTTCAAAGATTCCACATACCGCCATCGAAAACCGGTTCCAGTTATGCTGGGTTGCAGCTGTTTTGTTAGCATTCAAGATTTCACTCAGGTATGGATTTTATGAAGTATTTGTTACCATTATAACAATTAACGTAATAACTGTTTAGTCATCCAGGAACAATGCGTTGAATATTTCCTTCTGAATTTTTCACAAAGAGATTTTGCGGTTGCCTCTCAGCAGGTTGCACAGTTGTTGCCATTCTAGAGTCGAGAACGATGCCTCGCTGCAGTATTGAGGTGAACGTAGTACAGTGAGGATGTCGGTGCTCTGTTGTGTAAACCTCTCGTTGCTTTTGAGGATTCATGTTCAAGGATTCAGAATATATCTCTACCCATGTGACAATGAAAAATAAATATAGAATTATAAACACTTAAGACTCAACTGAAATCTATATCATTGTTCACAAGGAAGCAGAAGTTCAGATAGAATGCCCTTCTTTTCCATAAAAGACCGTAAGATCATTTGGTGCCGAGTCCGGCACTCTTCGTTCGCTCATCCAGAATAGATTTCTTGTAGTTATATTATTAGGGTGTTTATCGTGCTTGGTTTTGCTTGATTCTACGTGTCATCACTTATTTCATTCATTCGTTTCTGGTGCGTAGAAGTTGCGTCATGAACACATGAAAAATCTATCAGAAAGTTTCGCAAACAACATTTCCTATTTAAGAAGCATGTCACTTGATCGGCTGATTTACTAGGTGTTATTAGAATCCGTCTCTACGTTATACGATGTTCATGTTGATCCATCAGTCAATTTTAGCCACTGATTAATATTTGTTTCAAGCATTGAACGCCATATGCTTGAGTTTAATAGGTATAGTCATCGCTTGATCGTGGGATTCGTAGGTGGCCCCCGTTTAGTTCGATGGAAACTTCGATCCTCGTTGAATTTTGCAGCTGGAGAGTTAGATCTAGATGGCAATGTTAATTTTCGACGCTTTGTACAGATCGCGCATAAAATTTAAAAGTAGTTCGATCCGATCCACCAATTCCTGAAGATTAATTATGAATTTATTTTTCATTTGGCGATTGTTCATTTTAGAAATCACAAGTCGCGCAGTCTTCTCTAGAATCACAAGTCTTCTCGAGTACATCTGCTCATGCACGGATATTATTCTTCGAAGTAGATGCATTCTTTAATTGTTCTTGCTTATTCACCTAAGGAACGATAAAACGTTGTAATCTTAACATTCGTTAAACAATTCTTACTAGGTACCATGTATGCAGTGATTTATTGGAATACTTCACAAGTTCACATCACCCATCAGCTTGTGACCTAGGGGCTCTGTCGAACCAAGACGCGACGCACATGCTCCTTTGAGCTACGATTAAAATAGTTTCTATAGATTAAAATAGTTAGTACGATTAAGAGAAGTCCTATTAATATTTGAATTCTTCTAACATATGTGTATTTGAACTGTGAAGATATATGAAATATACTTTAAGAGACTCAAGGTATTGCATAGTTTCAGACCTCAATGCCATGAAGCCATTAAAACTCTTGAAGCCCATTGAAGCGTCGTATGTTTATTTACTTTAATATTCGCTCTTGAGAGCTAATTAGGTCCTTGAGAGCGCGGCGAGCATACCGAGCCTGGGACTCTAGCAAGTGAC